AACTTGACACTCCAATTCATCCCAAAGGTGCTCAAATGGGTTGAGGTCCAGGCTCTGTGTAGGCCACAGAAGATGGTCAACTTGATTTTTCTTAACCCATTTTTTTACTACCGAGTTTGATGAATTGGTGCATTGTTATCTTGAAAAGTATACTCTAAATTAGGATCAAGAATATTTAAAAAAGGTAATAAATGAGTTACCAAAAGCTCAATATAATCACTTGATATTTGTTGCCATTAATTCGGATCAATAGACCCAAACCATCTGCAGTAAAACTTCCCCATACCATCACCCTACTTCTACTCAACTTAAATATTGGTACAAGACAATCCACATTATATTTTTTATTAAGTAAACACCAAACATAACTATGACTATCATCTTTAAATACTTCGAAGTAAGACTCATCACTCCAAATGATATTATCTCATTCAGAAGTTCAATCCAAATGATCTTTTGCCTAGCTGTAACAGATCTTCTGATTTGGTATACTAACATATAGTTTTTTTTTTTGATACAGGTGTAGTAACCTTCTTTGTAAAGGTACTGTTATAGAGTATATATGAAAATATTTACGGAAGTCGACTACAAAAATTCATTTTGCAAAATATTCAAGCTAATTTTACAATCATTTTTTACAATACAAGTTAAGTGACATTTATCATAATTATTTAATTTGGGTGGCCTCCACTCCAAGCAAGAGGTTTTAATTCTCTAGTTTCTTCATAAAGATTAATTACGTCTTGAACTGTTGTTTTTGCAAAGTTAAGTTGTTTTACAATAGTTGAAATAGAAAAACCACATCTCCAAGCACTGACTATCTGGCTTTGTTTACTTTCAGATAACTCTTTATATTTTTGAGACATTGAGAAAAAACTACAAATATAATTACAAATTTTCTTTATATTTTTAAAAATTACAGGTCTTATACTATCTAACTATACAGATATTAACAATGTATCTTCTAACAATTATGCACAAACAGATTTTCAATAAATCTTTTCACTTGCCAATTATTACCAAAATTGATCAATGGCCGGTAACTTTTGTCAGGGGAGCATATATTACTTTATTATCACATATAAACAAATACCAAAAAATTATAAAAAATTAGTCAACTTCGTGACAATAATATTTTTTTACTTTACTTTTAACCATCTTTCAAATTTTGTAAAATAATTTTTTGAATATAAGAGAATTGACAAAATGCTGTTCAAAAATTAAACTAACAGATTCTTTATTATTAAATATGCTTAAAAAGCAAAATTTGTCTAAATTTTACATACCGTATTTTCGCATAATAACACTCATGAGCATTATTTAAAAAATCATATACCTTAAAAATATATGCATAGTCTCAAAATAATGCTCATATGTGTCTCTAAATAATACGCACTCCCGTATATGACCAGTTGCAAACCTGGATTTTTTCAGCTATAGGTATTTATTATATCAGATCAACATATCGTTTAGTTAATTCAACATAACATTTTGGGGCACCTTTATTAAATTTAGATAAAACCAATACAAATCTTTATTTCTAGTTCAGCATCAAAATTATACCATCGAAGGCCTTTGACCAGTTGATATTTCTATTATAATAATTCTAAAACCATAAATATTAGCAGCTTAAGTGAATCATTTACCTTTCAAGACCTCAGATGCAAAACTCTATAAATATGATATTGTTTTTCATCAAATATTATTGATAAACCTAAATTGGTAATATAAGCTTTATATTGTTCTTTTAATAAAATATTACTTGAATGTAAATCTCGATACATAAATTTCTTTGAATGAATACGTGATAGATCATAAACAATATTGCATAATATTTTTAATTTAATTTACTACTATGACTTAAAGATTCCTTTAATATTTTCACACAATTATCCAAATTTCATGTAACTTATCACTAAAATAAAATCTTCAGTATTCTTATCTATTGATATGTCATAATAGTTTCCAAATTCGTGATGCACCTTTAACTAAAATTAACAAATTACCAGATATACAATTAATTCATAAACAATATAAATTTATGTATAAAAAAAAAAAAACAATACTTTGTTTAAAAAAGTTGACTACCTTTATGTGAATCATTTATTATCTTAATTACAACTTCTTCATATATTTCATATCATCTTTTATATAATGTTTTA